ATCAGTACATACGAATAGGTATAGATTAGAAGTTATCCTCTAAAATAGATTAGAGATTAGAGAAGTTATAGCTTGAAGGAAATTACAAACATTTAATCAACAATGGCAGGAGGTATGTTGTTTGCTGCATATGTTTTGATTTTTTATTTTCAGGATAGAATTATATGTTATTAGATATGTCTGTGTAGAGGAGTAGCGAAGAAGGTTAGGGCTTCTCATTCAACAAAATGAAAAAAATACAAGATAATTATTTTACATAATATTAAAAATGACACTTAAACCGCCATTTTAATAAAAAAAAAACCATCATAATACATATAGTATAAAATGGTGATCCAATGAACCGTTGCAATAGTTGTCATAATTCACTAAAAATTATGGTAATTATTAATAATTATTGTAATTTAACCACCGTAATATATCATTTTTATGTAGTGACGGAACCATAAATAAGAGCAACAGTATCAGCTAATTGAAGGAGATATCATTAGCTTTAACCCAAATTTAACTTAATAATATGAACTAGAGAAGACAATGTAAATGACTTATTTTTTTCATATATATATATATATATATATAAATTTATATATAAGAAGTAAACAATTTATGTAGGTTAATTATTTTTTAATAATTAATTTCAACTTTCTCCTTTATAACTCTCTTTGTAGCTAAATTTACTTCTTGACATTTGGAGCATTTTGGGTAACTTGAATTCCAATTGGGGCATGGGGGTGTGAATGCAAAGAGAAAAAGAAAATAATTTACATAAAACTAATTAACTTCTACTAATCAAGTCATTTTTTTCAACATGAAAAAAAAAAATTAAAAGGGAATTGATTTACGTAAATTATTTCATTTTTTATATGTAATATTTATTTACACACACACACACACGTAAAAAAAGGAAAATGATGCAATATAATCCAATGTTGGAAAATAGGACACCTGAAAGTTTCCTTGTCAATGGTAGATTCCGTTTTTGTAATAAGAACATTAGAATATTTCCTAAAATTATGGGTTCCCCGTCACAGCATATAATTGGACAGAAATATAATTCATACCATCATACCTTGGCAGTGAAAATGGCAAAGCTTAAAATAGCAAGTTCAGCCAAAACATAAAAATTTCAGAACAAATTAATTAAGATTGGATAGAAGTTTGTGGTCTTAAAGTCATAGAGCTATTTTATGAAGGTCAAATTTCATCTTTGCTAGGATTTAGAAGTGAGAAAATAAAAACAAAACAGAAAATAGATACAGTGTAGGAGATGGAGAAGATGAGTATCCGGTGGGCATAATAGCAGTTTCTTCCTTGCTCTTACTTGCTCGAATTGCAGAATCTCAAGCAGTGTTTGATGTCACGGATCCAAGAAATGGGGGAAGCGGCGGTGGAGATTGGGGACATTAACCTCACCTACAAAGGCCCCGGAGGTCGCGCCACCAGCGAGTGCGCCAATGTCCAGCCAATATTTACGGGCAAGCAGAATCCACCAGTGTGCGCCGCTCGCGCTGTGTGTCTTCTTAGTTGAACCATAGAAGTGATAAAACGAATAATCTTCCATCCCCGCTTCAATCTATTGCATAGAGGTGGAGATGGATGAATGTGTGTTTACATAGGATGGAAAAGTTTGGAAGTGTAGAGCATGAATTGCTGCAAAGCAAAGGTGGGTTTTGCTCAACATTGTATAAGAGTTGATTTTTTAATAAAGTTGATGACTTCTGGTTTAAAGAGACAATTATTATTATCAGTTGTAGTGGACAAATTGCAGAGATTTAGTTGTAACTTTGAGTCTCTCGAAAAATTGGAAGTCTTTCTCCTTGAATTAAAATTCAGAAACTTAAATTTTTAAAGGAAGGATTTATATTTTTATTGAGGATCTTTTGAAAAGCTTTATGTAAAACAACTCTCTCAAGACCAACCATTTTTGTCTTCCAAGTTCCAAACCTACAAATTTAATTCCCTTTCACACTCGTTATATCACCATCACTGTCATCAAAACAAAAACAAAAACATACATCCAAAGCAGACATTAATATTTCTTTCTAACAAGTTTGAAATCTTGTTTAAGAGCAAAATTTACATACCTAAGACAGAATCCAAGCGGTCAATTATCAAACATGACATGCAGAATCCCCACAGAAGTTTCATGGTCTATTATTGTTGTTCCCTGGACTTTTAATTTATTGCACCTCCACCATTCTCTGAGCTTTCAGTTAAAGCTTAGATAGAGCTGAAGATTAGAGCACACAAATCCAAAACCAACCACCCTCTGAACCGAAAGCCCACAAAACAGATTTGATCTTCCACTTGAAGAAACAGAGATCTGCTAGCTTATTTCAGAGGATTGATTTGAATGATTATAGAACCCAGAGAGACCTTTGCTGAAATGGGTAAAACCCAATAGAAAGCCAGAGCAGAACAGACCAGAGGATTATCCAGGAAATTGGCAAATCAAATCTGAATTTTTTGCAGAATTCTGCCCCATATATTTCACAAAGAAGAACTCAACGCAAAACACAACAACACAGGCTTCAGAACCAAATGAAACATCCCAACAAAGGTTAAACCCCTTGTGTAAACACTTAAACCAAAGCAAAGATACCCTTGAACCATCTCCCACCTCCAAATTTCCAACACAACATCAAAGAGGCCCCAGCTACGGTCTAAGCTCCGTCCAGACCCAGAAACACAAACCCCTCAACCAGAATAGACAGCTTCTATCCATGTGAAACACATGAAGAGGGGAATTAGAAGATGATCAGCCAAACATTAAATTAAAAATTCAGGCACAATCTCACGGAACCATAAATAAGAGGAACAGTATCAAGCTAACTGGAGTAGATACCATCAGCTTTTAACCCAAATTTAACGTGATAACATGAATTAGAGAAGACAATGTAAAAGACCTATTTTTTTCATATACATATAAATTTTATATATAAAAAGTAAACAATTTATGCAGGTCAATTATTTTCTAATAATTAATTTCTAAATTCTCCTTTATAATTCCTCTTTGGAGCTAAATTTACTTCTCGGCATTTTGAGCATTTTGGGGAACTTGAACTCCGATTGGGACATGGGGGTGTGAATGCAAAATAATTTATGTAAACTAATTCATTTTTAATAATTAAATTTTTTTAAGTGAGAAAAAAGGAAATTAGAAAGAAATCGATTTACGTAAATTATTTTATTTTTCTATATATAATTCTCGTTTACGAAATTAGAAAGGAATTGATTTATATAAATTACTTCATTTTTCTATATATAATTTCATATATATATATAAATATATAAAAAAAGGAAACTGATGTAATATAATCCAAATGTAGGAATATACGACATCTAAAAGTTTCATTTTCATAGGTAGATTCTGTTTTTGTAATAAGAACATTAGAATATTTCCTATAATTATGGGTTCCGCGTCACAGCATATAATTGGACAAAAATATAATTCACACCGTCATACCTTGGCAGTGAAAATGGCAAAGCTTAAACTAGCAAGTCCAGCCAAAACATAAAAATTTCAGAACAAATTAATTAAGATTGGATAGAAGTTTGTGGTCTTAAAGTCATAGAGCTATTTTAGTGCATGTATCCTCTCTCCTCTCTCTCTCTCTATATATATATATATATATAGGAGGGATTCAAAGGAACGTCAAATTTCATCTTTGCTAGGATTTAGAAGTGAGGAAACAAAAACAGAAAACAGGTATAGTGTGGGAGATGGAGAAGATGAGTATCGAGTTGGGCATAATAGTAGTTTCTTCCTTGCTCTTACTTGCTCGAATTGTAGAATCTCAGAAAGTGTTTGATGTCACGGATCCAAAAAACGGGGGAAGCCGTGGTGCCAACGTTGACATTACCCAGGTAAAACCGCTTGAACACCCAAGAATCCATGGATTAATTTTTTTAATTAGTTTTGTTTATTGTTTTCATGTTTGTTTATATTTTCATTTTCATGAGAGCGTAATTTTTCTGTTTTCAAAAACCCATTAATTATTAATTTGAACTTATACAATTTAATAAAAAATAGTTATATAAATTAATACATACATACATATATATATATATATATAAGCATACACCTCAATATTTTTTTTATTTGTGTGATTAATTTTACTAAATTGCAGTACTTTTACTTATAGATAATGCAAAACGCCTCATTCCAGTCTATCAGGAAAGGAAAAAAAAATCAAGGATCAAATTTGAAAATATTTATATTAATAATGCCCTTTTATAATTTCCATATCGCACTCCAATTTACTCTTTTTGGAAGAAAAATAAGAGAAAATCACATTCCACTGACATAGAAAAAAATAGAAAACATTTCAAGGTTGTCGTGCATCTCAATCTATACATCTATATATTTATAGTGTAATTTTTTATTTTTTATTTTTTGATCTCTATAGTTTCTTCTAAATTACAACTGAGTCACTGCAGCATTAATTATAAAATATTTAATATTAAGATTACAAAAGTATAATATCTGGTGATAGAAAGGAAGGAAAGAAATTTTCAAGATTAGGAAAAATAATCTTTTATGACAAGAAGATTGCAATAGTGTTGAAATTTTTTAAAGAGATTAGAACTAACACGTGGGAAGAAATTAATTGAGATTTCCATTTAGCTACAAAGCTAATGCTGGACTAAATATTTAATACTTGGGAAAATGTGTGTTACATTTAAAACTATTGAATCCAAAGCAAAATTCAGATGAAACTAGAAGGACCAAAATGAAAAAGACAGTAATTTCCCAAAATTGATTAAGGGGTCAAATTTGAAAATGCGTTTATGAGTTTTAACTTCTCTCTCAACTTGATTTAGGGTTTCCTGAATTCCTGGAAAAAAGCATGCGAATCAACCACTCCGAGCAAAGTGCTAGTACCGAAGGGTTATTATATGCTTGGGGAAGTGAAAATTGAAGGACCTTGCAAGGCTCCCGTGGAACTTAGCCTTCAAGGGACGGTGAAGGCCCCCCTGATCCCAAAGTTTTCAGTCAGATGGGTGGATTACGATCGACCACGTCAGCCAACTTACTGTTTCCGGCGGAGGAACTTTCGACGGCCAAGGCAAGCTCTCCTGGAACCTTGATCAATGTAAGAAGAAGTTTAACTGCTCATTTCCTGCGGTGAGCCACCCAAATACTTGTCTCTATGTCTTCCCTTCACAATGTATTAATCTATTAAAATATGAATGTAAGAAATAGAACAATAAAAAAAACCTGTTATTATCTGAAACAGAATGTGAGGTTCAACTTCGTTGACAACTCAACCGTGAGCCACATAAGGTCCCTGAACAGTAAGAACATCCATATCACCGTCCTGGGTTGCAACAACTTTATCTTCCAAAACATCTACGTCATCGCGCCGGGGACGAGCTTTAACACCGACGGCATCCACATGGTTCAGAGCTACAACGTTTCCGTCCTTGATTCCACCATCATGACCGGCGATGACTGCATTTCCGTGGTTGACGGCACCCGTAATGCCACAGTTGAGCGAGTGAACTGCGGACCTGGCCACGGCATCAGCATCGGCAGCCTCGGCAGGACCCAAAATGAGCAACCCGTCGTCGGATTCACCGTCAAGAATTGCACCTTCACCGGAACGCTAAACGGCGTCCGAATCAAAACCTTGCCGACACCCAAGACCGGCGTCGTCACCGATATCCACTATGAAGATCTTATTATGAATGACGTTTCGAATCCAATTCTCATTGATCAGGAGTACTGCCCTCTCAACCTATGCGACCGTTCGGTATTAAATCTAACACACCCTTTGTAGATTTATCGTCACGTCAGAACTTAAAAAACATATTTTTATTTTTTTTTAGCACTTATTTTCAATTTATGCTTTCTTTTGGAATATCATATATATATTGATGTGAAAATTGTTTTGGAAAACAATTGCCAAGAGTTTTCTCCTGTCTTTTTGTGAATGAGAAAGTGGTTTTCAAAAATAAATCCAAATGTGCCCATGTTTTTTGAATTGGATAGAAAATTGTTGTTGGATTTTTTTATTTTGAAAATGCAATCATTTTTTAGAAAAACCTTTCTCCGTTACTTGTAGGTTTCTAAAATTGAAAATTCCTGTGCTATTTTTTGTTTTCAATTCCTGTTTTCTATGATTTCTAAAAACTTTAAACATTCTGCCGTTTATTTATTGTAACAACTTATAATTGAGAATTCTAAGTACAACTAGTTTACTAAACATGAGTCTCTTTCTGAAAATTGCTCAGAAACAGTTTTCCTCCACATTTCACCAAATGCCAAGCAGCAAAAAGATTGAATTGGTTTATTCTCTGCTGCTTGCAGACTCCTTCCAGAATTAAGATAAGCAATGTGAGGATCAAGAACGTCACAGGAACTTCCGCGACTCAGGTTGCTGTGAAGATCTCATGTAGCAAAGCCTCCCCCTGCGAAGACGTGGAGATTGGGGACATTAACCTCACCTACTCGGGCCCCGGAGGTCGCGCCACCAGCGAGTGCGCCAATGTCCAGCCAAAATTTTCGGGCAAGCAGAATCCACCAGTGTGCGCCGCTCGCACTGTGTCTTCTTAGTTGAACCATAGAAGTGATAAAATGAATAATCTTCCATCCCCGCTTCAATCTATTGCATAGAGGTGGAGATGGATGAATGTGTATTTACATAGGATGGAAAAGTTTGGAAGTGTAAAGCATGAATTGGTGCAAAGCACACGTGGGTTTTGCGCAACATTGTACAAGAGTTGAAATTTTTGAATAAAGTTTGTGACTTCTGGTTTAAAGAGACAAGTATTATTATCAGTTGTAGCGGACAATTGCAGAGATTTAGTTGTAACTTTGAATCTCTCTAAAAATTCGAAGTCTTTCTCATTGAATTAAAAATTCAGAAACTTAAATTTTTTAAAGAATGATTTATATTTTTGTTAAGGATCTTTTGAAAAGCTTTATGTAAAACAACTCTCTCAAGACCAACCATTATTGTCTTCCAAGTTCCAAACCCTACAAATTTAATTCCCTTTTACACTCGTTATATCACCACCATTGTCATCAAAACAAAGACATACATCCAAAGCAGACATTCATATTTCTTTCTAGCAAGAAGTTTGAAATCAATTTGAAATCTTGTTTAAGAGTAAAATTTACATACCAAAGAAAGAATCCAATCATGTCCTAAAAGTTTCACAGAAGGCCGTCAATTATCAAACATGACATGCAGAATCCCCACAGAAGTTTAAGGGTCTATTATTGTTGTTCCCTGGACTATTAATTTATTGCACCTCCACCATTCTCTGAGCTTTCAGTTAAAGCTCAGATAGAGATGAAGATTACAGCACACAAATCCAAAACCAACCACCCTCTGAACCGAAAGCCCACAGGACAGATTCGATCTTCTACTTGAAGAAACAGAGATCTGCAGGCTTATTTCAGAGGATTGATTTGAATGATTATAGAACCCAGAGAGACCTCCTTTGCTGAAATGGGTAAAACCCAATAGAAAGCCAGAGCAGAACAGACCAGAGGATTATCCCAGGAATTTGACAAATAAAATCTGAATTTTCCGCAGAATTCTGCCCCATAAATTTCACAAAGAAGAGCTCAAAGCAAAACACAACAACAGAGGCTTCAGAACAAAATGAAACATCCCAACAAAGGTTAAACCCCACGTGTAAACACTTAAACCAGAGCAAAGATACCCTTGAACCATCTCCCACCTCCAAATTTCCAACACAACATCAAAGAGGCCCCAGCTACGGTCTAAGCTCCGTCCAGACCCAGAAACACAAATCCCTCAACCAGAACAGACAGCTTCTATCCATGTGAAACACATGAAGAGGGGAATTAGTAGATGATCAGCCAAGAATTAAGTTAAAAATTTCAGGCACAATCTCACGGAACCATAAATAAGAGGAACAGTATCAAGCTCACTGGAGTAGATATCATCAGCTTTTAACCCAAATTTAACGTGATAACACGAACTAGAGAAGACAATGTAACAGACTTATTTTTTTCATATTTGTATATATAAATTTTATATCTAAAAAGTAAACAGTTTATGCAGGTCAATTATTTCTAATAATTAATTTCTACTTTCTCCTTTATAATTCCGCTTTGGAGCTAAATTTATTTCTCGACGTTGAGAGCATTTTGGGTAACTTGAACTCTCATTGGGACATGGGCCGTCAATGCACCAAAGAGAAAAAGAAGATAATTTACTTGAACTGCCATTGGGACATGGGGGCGTGAATGTACCAAAGAGAAATAGAAGATAATGTAAGTAAAGTAATTCATTTCTAATAATCAAGTCTTTTTTCCACGTGAAAAAAATAGAAATTAGAAAGAAATTGATTTACGTAAATTATTTTATTTTTATATATAATTCTCATTTATGAAATTAGAAAGGAATTGATTTATGTAAATTATTTCATTTTTTTATGTATAATTCTCATTTATATATACACACACACACATATAAAAAAAAAGAAAATGATGTAATATAATCCAAATGTTGGAAAATAGGACATCTGTGAATGTTTCCTTTTTCATAGGTAGATTCTGTTTTTGTAATAAGAACATTAGAATATTTCCTATAATTATGGGTTCCCCGTCACAGCATATAATTGGACAAAAATATAATTCATACGGTGATACCTTGGCAGTGAAAATGGCAAAGCTTAAAACAGCAAGTTCAGCCAAAACATTAAAATTTCAGAACAAATTAATTAAGATTGGATAGAAGTTTGTGGTCTTAAAGTCGTAGAGGTATTTTACTGCATGTTCCTGCTCTCTCTTTCTCTCTATATATATAGAGACAGATTTGAAGGAACGTCAAATTTCATCTTTGCTAGGATTTAGAAGTGAGAAAACAAAAACAGAAAACACAAAACAGAAGAAAGGAAATAGATATAGTGCGGGAGATGGAGAAGATGAGCATCCAGTTTGGCATAATAGCAGTTTCCTCCTTGCTCTTACTTGCTCGAATTGTAGAATCTCAAGCAGTGTTTGATGTCACGGATCCAAAAAATGGGGGAAGCCGCGGTGCCAACGCTGACATCACCCAGGTAAAACCACTTAACACCCAAGAATCCATGGATTAATTTGTCTAATTATTTTTGTTGATTGTTTTCATGTCTGTTTATACTTTTCATTTTTCATCAGAGAGCCTACTTTTTCTGTTTGTAAAAACCCATTAATTATTAATTTGAACTTATACAATTTAATAAAAATAATTTTATAATATATATAATATATATATAAAATACACATCAATATACATTTATTTGCGTGATTAATTTTACTAAATTGCAGTATTTTTACTTCTAGAAAATGAAAAACGCCTCATTCCAGTTTACCAGAAAAGGAAAAAAATCAAGGATTAAATTTGAAAATATTTATATTAATGCCCTGTTTTATAATTTCCATATCGCACTACAGTTTACTCTTTTAGGATGACAAATAAGATAAAATCACGTTCCACTAATGTAGAAAAAAAAATAGAAAACATTTCAAGGTTGTCGTGCATCTCAATCTATACATTCATATATTTATAGTGTAATTTTTTATTTTTTTTGATCTCTATAGTTTTTTCTAAATTACAATTGAGTCCCTGTAGCATTAATTATAAAATATTTAATGTTAAGATTACAAAAGGAATATTTTACACTTTGCACTTTTAAAATAGGAGATTTTGACACTTTACATCCCAAAATTTTAAATTTGGCATTTTGCATCATAATAAAATAGATTTTTAGTACTTTGTACTCCAAAATTTTTAATTTGGTACTTTACACCAAAAAATAGAAGTTTTTAGTATTTTGCACTCTAAAATTTTAAATTTACTATTAAAACCACTAAAATTATAAAGAAGTGTATCATATCTTTAATTACTCATTAAAACTAAGGATAAATTTAAAATTTTATATAAATTAAGAATAAAAAGACTATAAAAGATTTGAACTTTTTATTTTTTATTATTTTTATTTTATTTAATAACATTTTACTCAATTTATATACATATTAACGGCATATAAAAGATTAAAAAAATTTGGTACTGTTCAAAAATTTAAAGCTAAAAATAAGGTTTTGATAAAAAAAATATAAAAAAAATTTGAAGCAACTATTTTAATTCTTAATTTAAAAACTAAAAATATTAATTTGTTACAAATTAAGAACTAATAATTATTTATGTATAAAATATTAGACAAATTAAGAATTACAATAATTCTTTCAAAATTAATGTTTCTAATTAGAATTTAAACCAACTAAACTAAATTCTTCAAATGCACGTCGTCCATAAATTTGCTACATATTCAAAATTTTAAAACTAAAAATAAAGTTTTGATAAAAAATATAAAAAAATATTTGAAGTGGCTATTTTAGTTCTTAATTTATCTAGATATTTTATACAAAATTAATTATTTGAAGTAGTTATTGTAGTTATTAATTTATCTAGTATTATATATAAAAATAATTATTAGTTCTTAATTGGTAACAGATTAAGATTTTTAATTTTTAAATTAAGAACTAAAATAATCATTTCAAATATTTTTTATATTTTTTTATCAAAACTTTATTTTTAATTTTAAAATTTTAAAATTTTGAACAATACTAAATTTTTTAATCTTTTACATACAGTTAATATATGTATAAATTGAGTGGAAGTTTATTAAATAGAGTAAAAATAACAAAACAAAATGAAGGATTCAGGTACTTTATGATCTTTTAACTATTTATTTACATGAAATTCTAAATTTACCATTAATTTTAAAGAACAATCAAAGAAATGGTGTATTTTTTGTAATTTTGGGAAGTTTTGAAGCTAAATTTAAAATTTTGGGGTGCAAAATATCAAAAACCTCTACTTTTAGGGTGTAAAGTGTCAAAACTCTCAATTTTTAAGGTGCAAATGACAAAAATATTTATTACATAAGTATAATATCTAGTGATAGAAAGGATGGAAAGAAATTTTCAAGACTAGCAGACATAATCTTTTACGACAAGAAGATGGCAATAGGGTTGAAATATTTAAAGAGAATAGAACTAACACGTGGAAATAAATTATTTGAGATTTCCATTTTGCTAGAAAGCTAATGCTGGACTAAATATTTAATGCTTTGGAAAATGTTGTTACAATTAAAACTATTGAATCCAAAGCAAAATTCAGATTTAACTACAAGGACCAAAATGAAAAAGACAGTAATTTTCCATAATTGATAAAGGGGTCAAATTTGAAAATGTGTTTATGAGTTCTAACTTCTCTCTCAACTTGATTTAGGGTTTACTGAATTCCTGGAAGAAAGCATGCGAATCAACCACTCCGAGCAAAGTGCTAGTACCGAAAGGTTATTATATGCTTGGGGAAGTGAAACTTGGAGGACCTTGCAAGGCTCCCGTGGAACTTAGCCTTCAAGGGACGGTGAAGGCCCCCGCTGATCCCAAAGTTTTCAAGTCAGATGGGTGGATTACGATCAACCACGTCAGCCAACTTGCTGTTTCCGGCGGCGGAACTTTCGACGGCCAAGGCAAGCTCTCCTGGAATCTAGATCAATGTAAGAAGAAATTTAACTGCTCATTTCCTGCGGTGAGCCACCCACATACTTGTCTTTATGTCTTCCCTTCATAATGTATCAATCTATTAAAATATGAATGTAAGAAATAGAACATTAAAAAAAAACCTGTCATTATTTGAAACAGAATGTGAGGTTCAGCTCCGTTGACAACTCAACCGTGAGCCATATAAGGTCCCTGAACAGTAAGACCTTCCACATCACTGTCCTGGGCTGCAACAACTTCATCTTCCAAAACATCTACGTCATCGCGCCGGGGACGAGCTTTAACACCGACGGCATCCACATGGCCCAGAGCTACAACGTTTCCGTCCTCGATTCCACCATCATGACCGGCGATGACTGCATTTCCGTGGGTGACGGCACCCGTAATGTCACAGTTGAGCGAGTGAACTGCGGACTGGCCACGGCATCAGCATCGGCAGCCTCGGCAGGCCCAAAATGAGCAACCCGTCGTCGGATTCACCGTCAAGAATTGCACCTTCACCGGAACGCTAAACGGCGTCCGAATCAAAACCTGGCCGACACCCAAGACCGGCGTCGTCACCGATATCCACTATGAAGATCTTATTCTGAATGACGTTTCGAATCCAATTATCATTGATCAGGAGTACTGCCCTCTCAACTTATGCGACCGTTCGGTATTAAATCTAACACACCCTTTGTAGAACTATTGTCACGTCAGAACTGAAAAACCATATTTTTATTTTTATTTAGCTCTTATTTTCAATTTAAAATTTTCTTTTGGAATATCATATATATATATGTATATATATTCTCATGTGAAAATGTTTTGGAAAACAATTGCCAAAAGTTTTCTCCTGTCTTTTTGTAAATGATAAATTAAGTAATTTTCAAAAATAAATCCAAATGTGCCCATGTTTTTTGAATTGGATAGAAAATTGTTTTTGGATTTTTTTTTATTTTGAAAATACAATCATTTCTTAGAAAAACTTTTCTCCGTTACTTGCAGGTTCTAAAATTGAAACTAAAAAAGCAGAAAGAAAGCTAGGTAATTTGGAACTCTTTCCTGTGCTATTTTTTGTTTTCAATTTCTGTTGTCTATGATTTCTAAAAACTCTAAACATTCTACCGTTTATTTATTGTAACAACTTATAATTGAGAATTCTAAGTACAACAATTTACTAAACATGAGTCTGCTTTCTGAAAATTGTTCAGAAACAGTTTTCCTCCACATTTCACCAAATCCAAGACAGCAAAAAGATTGAATTGGTTTATTCTCTGCTGCTTGCAGACTCCTTCCAGAATTAAGATAAGCAATGTGAAGATCAAGAACGTCACAGGAACTTCCGCGACTCAGGTTGCTGTGAAGATCTCATGTAGCAAAGCCTCCCCCTGCGAAGACGTGGAGATTGGGGACATTAACCTCACCTACTCGGGCCCCGGAGGTCGCGCCACCAGCGAGTGCGCCAATGTCCAGCCAAAATTTTCGGGCAAGCAGAATCCACCAGTGTGCGCCGCTCGCGCCGTGTCTTCTTAATTAGTTGAACCATAAAAAGTGATAAATGAATTATCTTCCATCCCAGCTTCAATCTATTGCATAGAGATGGAGATGGATGAATGTGTATTACATAAGATGGAAAAGTTTGGAAGTGTGGAGCATGAATTGCTGCAGCTAAAATTTTTGAACATTTTATAAGAGTTAAAATTTTTGAATAAAGTTGGTGACTTTTGGTTTAAAGAGACAAGTATTACTGTCAGTTGTAGTGAACGAGTGCAGGGATTTAGTTGTAATTTTGAGTCTCTCTAAAAATTGGAAGTCTTTTTCATTGAATTAAAAATTCAGAAACTTAAATTTTTAAAGGGAGGATTTATATTATTAATAATGATCTTTTGAAAAGCTTTATGTAAAACAAGTCTCTCAAGGCCAACCATTTCATTGTCTTCCAAGTTTCAAACCCTAAAAATTTAGTTCCCTTTTACACTCGTTATATCACCACCATTGTCATCAAAACAAAAACATACATCCAAAGCAGACATTAATATCTCTCTCTAACAAGAAGTTTGAAACCTCGTTTAAGAGTAAAATTTACATACCAAAGATAGAATCGAATCATGTCCTAGAAGTTTCATAGAAGGCCGTCAATTATCAAACATGACATGCAGAATCCCCAGAAGTTTCATGGTCTATTATTGTTGTTCCCTGGACTTTTAATTTATTGCACCTCCACCAATCACCCTCTGAACCGAAAGCCCACAAAACAGATTTGATCTTTCACTTGAAGAAACAGAGATCTGCAAGCTTGTTTCAGAAGATTGATTTGAATGATTGTAGAACCCAGAGAGACCTCCTTTGCTGAAATGGGTAAAACCCAATAGAAAGCCAGAGCAGAACAGACCAGAGGATTAACCCAGGAAATTGGCGAATCAAATCTGAATTTTTCTGCAGAAGTCTGTCCCATCAATATCACAAAGAAGAACTCAACGCAAAACACAACGCAGGCTTCTGAAACCAAATGAAATATCCCAACAAGTTTAAACCCCACGTGTATACACTTAAACCAGAGCAAAGACACACTTGAAACATCTGCCACCTCCAAATTTCCAACATAACATTAAAGAGGCCCGAGCTACGGTCTAAGCTCGGTCCAGACCCAGAAACACAAATCCCTCAACCAGAACAGACAGCTTCTATTCATGTGAAACACATAAAGAGGGGAATTAGAAGATGATCAGCCAAGAATTAAGTTAAAAAGTTGAGGCACAATCTCACGGGACTATAAATAAGAGGAACAGTATCAGGCTAACTGAAGTAGACATGATCATCAGCTTTTAACCCAAATTTAACGTGATAACATGAACTAGAGAAGACAATGTAAAAGACAATCAGAAGACATATATGGACCTCTCTGGTTTCTCCCTTGAAGTTTGAACCGTTGAACCCAATACCTTGATTTCTGCTTCATATATATAAATTTAAGAGACAAGTCTGACAATATTTTTGTTCAGAAATTCTTCTAAAACATTTTCATGATTCATCCCATGTACGATTCAAGTTTTAGGATCTACAAGCAGAAAACCGTCGATCAATAAATGGTGTAACACCTCTAGAAGCCCCCTAAACTTGGGTGCTTTCGGCATTTAAACCCTCAAGTTAAAGGTGGACCATTTATTTGACCACCTTGACCCAAACAATCCCCTCTTCTACTGAAGCTGACTCTAGCTGACGTAAGGCCATTAAGAGGGCTTTTTGGCTGCCAATGATGGGACATATTGCCACTTGAAGCCCTTCAACTTCAGGGTGTTAATGCAAATAAGCCCTTCGATTTTAACACTTTACATTTAAACCCTCGAATTTATGGCAAGGTTGCTTTCTTGCTTACTCGACCAAAACATTTAATAGAAATGGATTTTGTAGCATTTTCTTAAAAAAATATTTTATGCATATATATATATATATGTATGTATGCGTGCACATATGTGTGTACACATGTGCGTACATGTGTATACATATGCGTACATATACACACATGTATATGCGAAAACTCTAAAATTGATGGATTTACCGTCACAGAAGATAAAAGGAAAAGGATATGATTCACCCGTGAAAGTTTGTAACCACTGGTGTGAAAAATGGCAAAGCTTAATATAGGAAGTCGAATCGAAACATTACAGCCACAGAACAAATTAGTTTAGAACAGTTTAGAATTCGTGGTTTTAAAGCTGTCGTAGAGCAATATTAGTGCGTATATGAAAATCTATATATATGTCAAATTTCATCCTTGTTTGGAATCAAAAGTGAAAAAACAAAAACAAACACAGAAAACAGAAAACAGAAACATTGTGAGAATGGAGAAGATGGGTATCCAGCTGGGTATGACAGCAATTTCTTTGTTGTTATTGTTTGCTCCAAGTGCAGAATCTCAAGCAGTTTTTGATGTCACAAAATATGGTGGAAGTTCCGACGACATCACCCAGGTAAAACCAAGATCAATTGCTTTTTATTTTTGTTTGTTGCTTTCATGTCCATCTATAATTTTCGTTTCCATCAGAGAAAACAATTGTTTCAAAAAATAAATAAGCATTTTGATATAAGAAGAAACCAAATAATTAATTTTTTCGAAAATTTACGAAAGATATTGAAAAATAATTAACAAAAAAGATCAAATTTTAAATATTAGATAATACAATTAAATAAAAATAATCATATAAATTGATATAATACAATCCTATGCATTAGCGATTAGTTATTTATATAATTGATTTTACTAAATTATGTGATAAATTTACAATATTTGATCCTATTTTGTAATTACTTTTAGAGTTTATTGACTTATTTTCTGATTTTTATCATATGGGAATTCTTTTTTGCAACTTTTTCGGTTCCTGTATCGAAAAAAGACCCTCTGTATATATTAAAGGAAAATATGACTCCTTGCAAGAAAAAAGAATGGATTTGGATCTGGATTTGAAATTGGATAATAAATTTATGAATTTCAAATCTAAATTCTATTTTAGTTTTTAGAAAAAAAAGGTATTTACAAAATCTATTTGATGTTTGGAAAGAAATGTGATTTGGAATTAAAAATAAAATTTTTACTGTTATACTATTCAAAAAAATTACTTTTATAAAAAATTCATTGAGTGAGTAACAATTTTAATATTTCCTGTGTATGGTTACTGATAGGAAAGAGTAATTACAAGTTAAAATTTAAGTAAATTAAATAAAAAAATATTTAATTTGAGTGCAAACTGGTGATAATGTATGTAAATGGGAAAAAAAATATAAATAAAGTAAAAAAATTATAAATCTAAATAGATTAAAGAAATAGATTTTATATATATATATATATATATGTATGTATGTATGTATGTTGAGAAATCTTAAAGAAGTGGGAATAGAGTCCTACATGAATCTATTATTTGTTTTTTTTTTTTCCTTAGCTTAATAAAAAATGCTAATGATAGTGGGTTAAGTTAATCTATTATAGGGACATTCTAATTTATAGTTAAGGGGAAAAAATCAAGGTCAAATTTGAATTTTTTTTAAAAAAATTATAATTATGTTAAGATCTAAAAAGAATTTGGAATTAAAGAATCCATCAAGCGAAAAAATTAGAACTTCCAATTCTTATATTTTGAACATTTAAGAATTAAATGTCCTATAATTAAAATTATAAAATTAAGATAAAATTTAGATGATGAAATTAACTAAGTGGACAAGGGCGTGAATTCCTCTATTTTTAGGGAATGAAAATCAGCTATTTAATTTGAAAATATATTTATGCCTTTTTCTTCTCTCTGAACTTGATTTAGGGTTTGATGAGTGCATGGGAAGAAGCGTGTGCATCAACAACTTCGAGCCAAGTTCTGATACCGAAGGGGACTTTCACGCTGAAGGAAGTGGAAATTAAGGGACCTTGCAAGGCTCCGGTGCAAATTAACCTTCAAGGGACGGTGAAGGCCCCCATTGATTCCAAACTTTTCAAGACAGATGCGTGGATTTCAATCAACTACGTCAATCAACTCACCGTCTCCGGCGGCGGAACTCTCGACGGACAAGGCCACGTCGCCTGGTCCCAAAATGACTGTCACAAGAACTCACAGTGCAAATTTCCTGCCGTAAGCCACCCAAATAATCGGAGCTTTTCTTAGAAATCTCATCTCAGAAATTTTTAGATGAACTTTTACTGAAAATGTTTTAGAATTTAAGAAAATTTTAATTTATCATGTTAACAATGCCTCCGCCTCATCGTTAATTTAACCCCTATCCGATGCGTATAACCTGAAACAGAGCGTGAGATTCAATTTCGTCACCAACTCAACCGTCACGGATGTAACCTCCCTGGACAGCAAGAACTTCCATGTTACGATCCTGGGCTGCAATAATTTCACCTTCCAACACTTCACCATCAAAGCGCCGGATTCCAGCATCAACACTGATGGCATCCACATCGGCCGGTCCACCAATATCTTCATCCTCGACACCACCATCCAGACCGGCGACGACTGCATTTCCCTAGGTGACGGCAGTCAGCAGGTCACAGTTGAGCGGGTCACCTGCGGGCCTGGCCATGGCATCAGCGTTGGCAGCCTTGGCAAGTATGACGAGGAGGAGCCCGTGATCGGATTCACCGTCAAGAATTGCACCATCACTGGTACAGATAACGGTGTTCGGATCAAGACCTGGCCGGCAGCTAAGCCCGGCGTCGCCTCCGACATGCACTTCGAGGATATTATTATGGAAAACGTTTCGAATCCGATTCTCATTGATCAGGAGTACTGCCCCTTCAGTCTGTGCGCCTCCATGGTATTAAATCTAAGATACTCTTGATGTCCTTGTTTTGGTAAACTGTTTTTATATGGTTTTCATCTCAGCTATCCGTGAAAACAATATGCCAAGCATTTACTCTTTTGTAAACGAGAAAGTAGTTTTCATAAATAAATCCGGATATGCCCATGTTTCTTGAACTCTGGTAGGAAATTGTTTTTGGATTTTTTTCGTTTTTGAAAATACTATAATTTCTAATTTTTGTTTGTATGTTTCTAAAACTGAAAAGAAAAGAAACAAAGAAAAACAAGTTTGGAGTTGTTTCCTAATCCTACTTTTTGTTTTTAATTTTTGTTTTCTATGGCTTAGTATCAATTAGAAAAACTTACCGAGAATTCTAAGCACTACTAAGATTCCGTTTTCTGGAAATTGCACATATACAGTTTTACACACCACTGTATTAAATGGGTTCTGGATTTTTATGTTTATAAAAAACATATCAGTAAGCAACACACCGATAAGATTGAGCTGGCGTTTTCTCATCTCTGCTTGCAGGCTCCTTCCAAGGTTCAGATCGGCAATGTGAGCTTCAACAACATCGTAGGAACCTCTGCAACTCAGGTTGCTGTGAAGCTTACATGTAGCGCTGCCTTCCCCTGCAAGGATGTGCACGTTGGTAACGTTGATCTCACTTACAAAGGCCCGAAGGTCCCGCCATCAGCCAGTGCTCCAATGTCCAGCCAAAATTTTCCGGCAAGCAGAATCCACCAGTGTGTTCTAAAGCTTCTTAGTTCAATCAAATAGATGTCAATATAAATAAATAAATGATCCCATCTCTTTCAATGTAATGCACAGAGATTGAAGGATCCTGTTACCTAGATAGAAAAGGTTGTAAGTGTTAAGCTTGAAAAGCCGACAAAAATGGCTTGTGCTTTGAAATTATCATGTCCAGTTGAAATTATTAGAGAGGTTTAATCATAAATTTGAGTCTGTAAAAATTCAAAAGATTTAAAATCTTTACCAGGAGAATTGTATCTCTTCAAAACTGGTCATCACAATATGAGAAGATCTTTTGAAGAATTTGAAATAAAAGAAGCCTTTCAAGGCCAAACCTTTCATGGTCCTCTAAGTTCCAAAGTTTACAATTTTAGTTCTCTTGCTGATCTTCCATGAACCGCACCCTCTTTCTATAGAAGTATGATGTGAACCAACCAACAATTCAAATGTATCAGGATAGACTTTCTGTTCATGAAGTTCACTCCTACCAGTCATTCATCAACCTAATCAAAACCGACCACAAATGTGTTAGGTCCCGAAAACTTACTGCTGCAGCAGAGGTACGAAGAACACACAGAATCAGTAATGAAAAATTGCAAAAATCAAACAGATTAAACACCAAGATTTTTATGTGAAAAACCCTAAACCACTGGATTGTCTCAATCCAGGAAGACAGAGAGTTCTTATCAAAGTTAAGAGATATACAATTTTCTCTGTCTGTGTAATGAACAGAAGGATAACGCTCTCTCTCTCTCTCTCTCTCTCTCTCATTTTTCTCACCCATGCAGAGAATGCATATATAGACACGAGCTTCTGCAATTCCAAAGAGGTTTGCTTCTCTTCTGAAACGGTAAAGTGACACTTCAAGCTCTGCTGATGCTACGGAAGGTGTTAACCAGATAGCCAAACGTTACACAGGAATTCACTCACAATTAGGTGAAGTACCAACAATGTCATCACAACAAACACACATAAAAACCAGGCATCCAGAGTCTCTCTCTCTCTCTCTCTCGCTCTGTGATATGGGAATTTGAAGGGGGGGAATACTGGGATTGCTTTAATGATCTTTCTAGGTCTCTGAAGAAATTGTGAACTTATTTGGTATCAAAAACTCACAAAATCGAAAATTTTACCACCAAATGTTTTAGTAACAAAATAATTAAATATTAAATTTTTAAGATTCAAAATTTTAAGTTATTGTGCAATAACTGATAATAAAAATAGAGTCATCTGTTTTAAATTATTTTTATTGTTCAATAATAAATAAAATATTTTTAATTTATTTTTATTTTAAATAATTAAATCCTGCACAGCATTAACCTTCTTTGCCAACAATTCGGTCCATTTCCAATGGGTTAAAATCAGTATATCTATAGAGTTAGATTGACAATGCTAGTCTGAAAACACTGAGGTAAAGTCAGATTTTTTGACAATGGAAAGGTCTTCTTTCCAGTTGTTACACATTATTTGATGGGAGTCGAGTTGGTCAAAGACTTTATATAAAAGACCCCGTACCTGTGTTACATTTCAGACAGAATGACACCAAATTTTCACTTATTTCACAATGTAGTTGTTATAGAAGGCCTTAATCTCATCATTTTACCAAGTAATTGCATGCAATGGAAATTGAATATTGGGGCAGAATGATTTAGGAAGGAGAAGAAAATCAGTGACGCGGAAAAGAAATTATGATTATGTTGTTATTGTATCTGCAATCTTGATTAATGCTTTCTACATTAATGTAATCTTCTTGATAGATTTTGCAGTTTCATATTTAACAAAGAACAGAGAGGCCTTCTCACTGAAACTCAGCCCTTATTTGTCTCTGCAATAACTAAAAGGACATGGTATCTGTTCCTATCAGCCTGGTTTTAGAACTCTCCAACTTCTAGTTCTTTATCACAACGTCCTTTTTCTGTTCAAGTGAAATGCATTTAAAAAAGGGTGTCCTCACAAGAAAAGAAGAGTAAATAGAAAAGGAAAACTGACTAGCTCATACTAAAAAGAGCAATAGACAGAATAAATGACATAATGACAACGCTTTCCCTAGTAGAATGAACTTTATTCAAAAATGTTACAATCCTTCGGACACATAGTATCACTACAACTAGAAGACCTTTACCTAGAACTCTACAACAGACAGTCACTTTATTGATAGATTTAGAAATATAGTACTAGAGACAATGGATAAGAGACAATGACAGAATTGGATGATGGAAAGGTGGTAGGAACAAAGGTAGAATCAAAGTAATGAGAAAATGCTCAACAGACATGAAATCAATCTGAATCTGAAAATACCATGACAGGAAGTAGGAATCCTCAGTGGACAAACTTACTCTTGTCAAGCAACAACCCATCCTGGCAGATAAAGAACTCTTCCCAATTCTACCACACACCCACCCAAACGCATATGCACATGCACACACAGATGGTAGCTTCTAACCTTTTTATGAATCCAAGTGGTTATTAACGATCCATGATAAAGAAGAGACGTTCAAGAAATTGTAAAAGAATGTTGAGATTCAGTCAAGGAGACAGTAACTTACATGTATTCCCTGTCAAAGCATTCAAGCTTGAAACAGAAGTCGGATTATAAGCCATTGCTTTGAAAAAAGTTAGCCCACTGATCCTGATTCTTCTGAACATCTTGTCTCTTGGGCTGTAAGATAGCAGTAATTGCATAGCATATAACATCAAGATTTCCCCGCTATAAAACATTATTGGTTGATAAAGTGGAGTATTGGATTTCGTAGGGAATGGGAGTTCAATGACAAATTCCTTCGTCCATGATTCCTTAACTCCATAATTCTTCATCATCCATATATCTAACTGGTTAGATAGGGAATAGTGAAATATTGATAGAAGATTTCTCAACACCACCAAATTCATTGAATGCACTGTCAAGTTGGGGTCAACAACAAATTGTAATGGTCCCGGAACTGAATGGAACTGTTCATCCTCAAAATCATAACAACAAACAGATTCAAAGCAATTATTGGCATTGTGTAGAATCCAATGAAGAGCTCCATTAAGAAAGCACCCACGTGAGTACCAATGAAGAAAGGACGGAGCAACTCCAACTTTTCTCCATAAATTTGTCCCTAGAGTCGTTATCTCAGCCTGCAATCTAAGCGGTCCATTGATCCGAGCACTAAAAGTAGGATGTAAAAGCCGTAATATCTTGTATTGTTTCGTCCTTGGACAGAAGCCAAAGCCAGAACCAGCTTGATTAAACAATTCTTTCTTATCTTGAGGAATGATCACATAATCATTCATAAGAGGATTGACTATATAATATGGATGATAAGTTCTTGGAATGTAGAGGCAAATTAATCCATTGCAAGAACTCAAAACCTCCCACTCCCCGAAGCAATCGGGTATGCCTTTATGGTCCAAATTCAGGATCGCGTCAGGGGTTACAACGATATCCTCATTGTGGTCACCATTGATAACCAATGGATAAAGAGATTGATACAGTTCTACGAAGCGAAGTCTCGGAAGATCTCTGGAACTAAGGATGAGGGAGGAAGGCGATCTTGAGAGAAGCAAGCTAGCGAAATCAGGATTTGAAATTATTTTACGCAAGCTTTTGCATACAAACCTGCAATTGCTGATGGTCTTCATCGGTAGTCTGGCAAGAATTTCATGGACAAGGCAATCAGGGAGGTCGAAGATGGATGTCGGGACAGTGGATTTGACTTGCCGGCGTCTCATGTTGAGAAAATTTCCAATTGTTGTACAGGAGAGAGATACACTAGAATCAACGCCGTCTGGCTAGGACTGTGCATTTTGTGGTTTAACCGAGAGAAAAACCAAACCGGAATTTTTTTTACTATCCATGTTCCGTCTTCAACAGATTCAAACTCAATAGGCAACAATTGGGGGCAACCCACTGGTCAGTCGGCTCTCCACTCGACCATCGACGCTCTTCGATCACCAGCGAGTCCCGATGATTCCTCAAAAATGGCCAATCGACGCTGTAGCAACCAAAATTAAAAAGCTCCACACGTTAGCACCAAATCAGGCCAAATCTTTGCACGACAGTCATTGATTGATGTCAATCACCAACCTCTGAAATTCTTCAATCTCATAAAATCAATACTCGATGAGCTGCATGACTACTTTGTTGTGAATTGAACGTGTGCGTGTTCAACAGATGAACGAAACCCTTTTTTTAAATGAGTGTTTGATTTTTTTTGAAAAAAATTATATATTGAAAACGAGTTCCAGAACCAACGTCTTTTTGGTTCAACTAAAATGGTTAATATTTTTTAAAATTTAAAAGTTAAAAATCTAAAAAAATTAAAAATAGCTTTTTGAAAATCTGATTTGCTAATTTTTTTAACTATTTTGGATTTTTATTCTTTTTCAGTATTTAAAAGAGATAATGCTACAAGAGAAGATAAATAATCAAATGTGTCTATTTTATTTTTTATATTTATATATGAATTTTTTAAGAAAAATCAAATAAAAAATTTAACCATATAAAAATAAATCAAATATTATAAAAATTTGAGATCTATTTGTTCATAATAAAAAAATAAAAATTAAAAAAAATACTTTTAAACCAAACACACCCCAACAAAGCCCTACAAATAGCTTAATTTTCTTTGAAATTCTAAATAAAGTGTGAAAACGAGTTGCAAAAATAAAAAATAAATATCAGCCAAATAAAATATAAAAATAATAAATTTGATCGTTTCTTACTCTAACAAAACGTAACATGACAATGCCATGTGTAATTGAAAAATTATATTCAAAAACACTTCAATACATAAGTGAGCCGCAATGTTAGGTGTTGTTTGGTTATATTCGAAAAGTCTTTTTAAAAAAAATATATTAATACGAAAAGAAGTTGAAAATTTTAAAAATAAATTTAAAGAACCTGATTTTATTAGATTTTTTTTATAGTTTTTAAATTTTTTTATTTTTCTTCCAATATACAAATGAGCATAATATAACGAGAGAAAAGTGATGAAAAATAACTATTTTTTATTTTTTTACATTTGTATATAATTTTTCTAAAAAATTAAAAAATTATTTTTCATCACAAATATTCAAAATTTTAAATGCCATGCGTGGTGCCTATGGCTCATGTGTCATCGGAAATTCCCCTGCTTGTGGGTGCTTGAAAGGGTTGGAGCCCAAGAACCAGGCACAGTGTGGGGTGGCAGATTGGTCGGACGGATGTGTTCGGAAGGTGAAGTTGGAATGTGGGAAGCGAGACGGTTTTCTTAAGTACTCCAATCTCTCAAGTTGCCGGATACAAGGCACTCTTATTTCAATCAGAGCATGAACCTTGAGGAATGCAGGAGCTTGTGCCTGGAGAATTGCTCCTGCACAGCTTATGCGAATATGGATATTGGAAATGGAGGGAGTGGATGCTTCTTGTGGTTCGGTGATCTAATTGATATCAGAGACTATTCAGCGGACGGTCAAGATCTTTATGTCAAGATGGCCGCCTCAGAATTAGGTATGCATTAGATTCTTTATTACTGCTACTGGTGGTTGAACATTTAGATGTAAAATATTGAACTATCTTTTTACAACTAGCGTTATTAAAATGAATTTTTTTAAAAATAAGTCAACCACTTGGGCTTGCAATGCCTTGACATGTTCACTCAGAGGTTTCCCCTTGCCTCAAAGATTTACTCGGATGGCGGTCAGGTTAGAAGTCTTAATATATTCAAATGCTTAATCGCCTTGTAAATACTCCATTTCTCACAGATTATATTTCTAATCAAACGAACTATGTGCACTATAAATAGAATTGCCATCACACTGCAGAACGCTACGACTGCGACAACAATGGTACGGGTCAGTGATTTTCTATCCATCTTTGGAGTGACCCAGACGATACCAACAGTATAAATAGCTGCTATAAATGTTATTGCCAACCACACGACAACTATTAGCAGCCATGAATATCTCCGACCCTGAGGAGAACAAGCCTGGCTCTAGCCCCAACCTGGCTGGAGTCATTTGACAATAAAAGGATTATTTGCAAAACCCCCTAACACCCAACCAAAAAAAAAAGGAAAAAAATGAAATATACATAAAAGAAAAAGAATATAAATTTTATAAAAATAAAAAATAAAGATAAGACAATTTAAATTGTACTTTTTTGTTATGGAAATGGACAGAGCCTTTGAGACCCAAAGGACCCAAGAGAAGAGAGTGTGCCTGTGAAACCAAAGTTTCTAGGCTGCCGATGATGTTCTCGAGTGACATCTCATCTGATTTTAAATGTTAAAAATTTTGATGGTCTAAGATTTGAATTTCAGTTATTGTATCTCTCTCTTTTCTAACGCCTTGCACTCTGTATGTTACAAAAGAAGAAGAAGAAAAAAAAGACGTTGTGTTGTACCTTGTACACCACCCAGCAACCTGCTGATTTTATAGTCCTTTCCAAAGGAAACCTCAAAGAATATTATGGGGGTTGGGTGATTCAGAAAGGAAGGAAGATTGTCTTGTACCTTGTATTGTGTGCTCCCAAAGAAAAGTAATGTAGTTGTGAGATGTTCGACTCTGGAATTTAAAAAAAAAAAAGTGAAAGTGAGTTTAGAGAGAGATGGGATTAAAGTAAGTTTCAAAAATGTAGTTTACACCTATTTTAATAAACCCATAATTTTAAATAAACTCACCTCTTAATATAGATTTATTTAGACCTACTTTAAAGTTAAAAATATGTTTGAAAATCAAATTAAATGACAATTTTTTGAAAATAATTTATTTCTTTTGAAACTCTCGTTTGTGAACTCAGTTAGGATGAAAGAACTTAAACAAACATGTCCTTAAATATCAATGATAACAATTTATAGTTTAATGCCTTAACATGCAATTATTATTTTCAAACAAATAATTAAGAAAATAATCTCACACACGTATATATAATATATGTAAATATATAGTGACATCTAATTTAATTTCAGGAAAACATGTATTTGCATGCATCTCCCCAGAAAAGGATATGGTTCTATGCCCTCGATGACTTTACGGGGCCTCCCATATAGAGGGGAGCTGAGGAGTCCCGTGAAGATGAAACTCTTCAAACACATGCATGGATGTGTATGCATGTATGACAATGTATGTAAGAGACCAATCTCAGAAGCAGTAAGTGGAGGAATACATTGGAGGCCTTCGTCACGTAAAAGGCACTGATTCTCCTATCAATTCTTAAACGTAGTTTTTTAAGAATTGATAGGAGAATCAATGCCTTGTTAAGCTCAGTTGATGGTTCTATGGGAGGGGTCTTAGGCTCCTAAGCACTGCCAAATCCTGATCAGTATATATCCCACATGAAGTTGATTCTACTTGCCATACAAACAGAGAAACATGTTAGGGAAAAAGATTGGTTATCAAACGGCTCATATTGCAAAATCATGGGGTTGATATGATGATCTTTAGCACCTGGAAAGCCCTTTTTGTCCTCCACTAGCTTGTGTTCAGATGAAATAATAGTAAAGAAATTAGTACCACATAATTCTCCTTGTATTTTGCTAAATACAGCGAGGTTGCAACTTCTGCGCAAAAATGGGCAACTTTGTCGGCAAGTTGGGCTAGAGGGACCCCACTAGATAATAGAAAGTAAGCACAAGAGAGAGCCTCAAAATAAAAGCTCTAATGAACCTTTGTGATAAGCACTAGCACTAGCAATAGCAACAGCACTCCAACCTCCCTTTTATCTCCCAAACCCATCCATCCCTTCATTACTCACTCGTTTCAGTTACCCATCTCAGAGAATTCTTGCCATAAGCTTCTTTCATTGAAGGGATGTGGCGGGTGGCAGCAGCACTGAGACAGAACCTCAGGAACATGAGGAAGAGCCCACGAGTGGCCGATGAAAGCATGTTTGGGAACGGGAACGTAGATGATCTGAATAGAAGAGGCCCCAGATGGAACGCGATCTCGGTCATTTGTTGCATTATACGGGTCCCTCTCTCCCTCTTTGCCTGCCTTTCTCCCCCTCATACCAATGGTACTGAAGCGGTATGGGCTTCCAGCGAGTTAGCAAGGATTTCAGAGATGAACCATCTTATGGTTAATGATAGCATGCGGTATGCCATCTTGATGTGATAATCTCATTCATATCGCTTGTGACATCATCACATGATAATCTAAGGGTTATTATACATCCAAGTCTGTCCGTTTTCCAAAGAAGATCCAAATCCAGAGAGAAGAAAGGAGGTAAGTGCTTAACCATGTTAAAATACATGGATTCATGAAAGTATTCAGAGAAGATCCATTTTGATAGAGTTTCCATGTCCTGTCTATGATCTCATGTAGTACAAAAGTATAAATGACTACAGAGTGATGAATTTTGTAATCCAAGTATAGGTTTGAAGTTGGGTAGCTAGGTTAGTTTCCTCTTCACGGTTACTGGGGTAAAATATTTAGGAATCCTAGATGTTCAGCTATTTAAAATATGTAACTCAAGTATCAAGTGGTTCAGTTCAGATACATGAATAAAATATATGTATGTATGTATATATACATACATTCATGCAGACAAAAAATGGTACACATGGGGCCACAATTAACCTAAAAAAATTTGCAGATTTTTCTTTAGAAAAATGGTATCAGCATTAAGGGGCTGTGTACATCAAATACAAACTAATAATATCATCGTGTTATAGGCAGCACTTGAGAGACAACTTCATCCATAAGCATAGAATCTCAATAAACAATAAAGGTTAACTAAAAAGAAAGATAGCTCTCGTCCTCACCAAGTATAAAGCAAAATGTGAAGGTTCCTTTTTCTATTCTTTTGTTAAGAATAACACTTTGGCACCAACAAAAAGCAAATTCAGTGGTAATGCAATTAACTTGCTGCATAATTACAAATACCCAACACGAAACAAGCCAGGAGTAATTGGTCTAAAGTTTGAGCTTTGGTGATGAGCAAAAAGGAGAGGGTCCCTTGGGGCATCTTCTTTTTCTCAGTGAATCGACCTGTGCAAAGTGACCATTGACAACCACCAGGGCACCAAAATAACATTTGTGTGGGCAATATCCCCAAATGTCTAACTAAAGAAGCCATTGCCACACCAAATTCAAACTCATGAAGATTGGTTCTTCTGTCTTTCGGTGAAAGATGTAAGAACTTACTCATATTTCCAGCTGTAAGATCTTGAATTTCAAATAGTGAGGAAAGTATATTATTTTCTCTATTTATTTTTTTTGAAAAGAAAATAGAAAACAAAAGAACAATAGCCTTCACTTGTTTATTTTAAAAAGAAAAGAGGCATCACACGGTCATAAGGCTCTCCATTTTGTTAGGGACTGGGAAGGGCCATCAAGTGTACACAGCTTGACTGTTGTTTTTGCAGGGAGGCTGTCTCTCTGACTTTCACAAACCCAGAGAGGGAGAAGGTAAATTATGTTCCACATGTTTTCCTTGGATTTTTATCCTTGTCATCTCAAAGGATCCAAGGAAAAGAAAGTTGAGTTTCTTGCCTTCTATCTTGCTTTCTTTAAGTTCCAAACAACTCCCAGTCTTCTAGAACTGGAGTACAATACAGAAATCGTAATTCATAATTAGAATAGGATAAAAGCAAAACTTGACAAAAAAATGAAGTCAAACAGGTCTTAATTGCTTTACCTTGCTTTATCAGACACCCAACATCACTGGCACCACTATAACTGCTATTCTGCATACCTTTATATTGCATAAGAAACTATGAACATAATTTTTCCTGTTAATGAAAAATTATGTGGCGGTCAGAGCTATAACATTGTTGAGAGGAATATTTATTCAATCAAAGTTTTCAAATCATATAGCAAATGAACACCATCCACATGTTTGGCATTTGAACCGTACTAATATATGGTTCATGGGACTTCTGTATATCTTAAGGAAAGGAAAATCAAAGATTCACTGGTAATACAAGTGTTTTGGGTGATGGGAGTCTGAAAGTGCAATGATGAGGTCAGTTCACGCCACTAATAGAACACAAATTGGGCCAAACAGAAAACAGTCAACTGCTCCAACTTTGTGTGGCTGATCCAGATGGAAACTAATGTGCACTAGAGATGGTGAATACCATCCATGAATTTGGAAGGAACCAATTGGTTTACAGATGTTCTGTCCATTCTCTTTTAGTTTTGGTGATAACTTCTCTATCAAAAATTTGATAAAATTCGTTCTGTCAACATTCCTTCAATTTTGATGACAACTTCTCCATGGAAAACAGTCTAAATTTGTTTTAATGCCGAGTCAACTCACCCCACCCACAAGGGGTTCATAACTTCCTGTGTGGAAAAGAGCAGAATATACTCATACATCAAGATACTTGCCATAATCGTAATCACTAGTAGGAGTCATATCTGATAGGTGGGCATCCAAAATGGGTTTGGTTCAGATCCATCACACTTCTCCCAACTCTTGTAGTCCCCACATAATGGCAGGTATGTAATCCGATGGTTGAGAATGCAGTGACATAGAAGCAACCCTGATCATCATGATTTGCAAATAGCAGATCTGCTATCATATTAATAAAATGTATAAATGATGATTTAGCTCCTAAAGTTAACCACTCCCAGGCTTCAAAAAAATGGAGCACGTATATGTGAGGAATCCATCTTTAAATGATTAAAAACTAGACCATAGTAAATTTGGTTTTGCAGTCAGTGGAACAAAATAAGAGACCTGAGATTCAGGATTACTATAGACTACTTTTTTTATATGGGATTCTGGCACTCACGTGTAGAAAACTTAGTGCAAATGAAGCAAATAATGATCTTAAAATATATGGTTAAATTTGAATATGTGGATCAAGAAAGGAAGGGAGGATGAACAAATCATTGAGCAGTTTAAATATTGAACAAACTGCCCATGGTCATCCAAGTCTTTCAAGATGTTATGCTGTATTTGCCTGTTTTCAATCAACTTCATCAATTAGAGACCTCTCAATTGGTACATAAAATAGAGGGTTACCTGTTGCATATAGATATGGCTCTGTAAATGTTTTTATTTTAAAAAGCCTGCAACAGATTTTGGAAACAAAGCATCAGTTACAAGGAGGCACAGAAAATACTATTTTATCTTTCAGTTTAATTGTAAGGCATTGTAATTGGCCTGCAAGGAGAAGGCATGAAATCAGTTATAACAAGGATAAGATATTGATTCAATAAGAAAGAGCTTGATTAGCATTTAAAAGTAATGTGAGGAAGTACTTTGCACTTGTACTAATGCACAAACCCCAATCATCTGCTTTTCTTGGACCAAAGATTAGCAGCATCCTGTTCTAAGTTCTTTAATCCAGCCAAACTCCACAAACAGAGGAAAAAAAGGAGACTTTGTTGTGTCTGTGGTTGGTATGACAATTAACTACTTTCATGTCCACTAAAGCAATCTATATTTTCCTCTTTACAGAAATATTATAGTTAAAAACATAAATTCAGACTTAAACAGAACCAAACAGGGAAACTCACTATTGAAGAGTAAATACATGTTTGGGGTTTTATTATAATAATTCCAGTAAACATCTGACGTAGTGATAGCCAATAATATCTGCAAATCTTATCTTAGCCAGATTATCTTATAAGGTAGGAACCCAAGTCAAAGGTGAAACACTGTAGATTTCTTCTATAGAATTCAACTTAGCATGCATTGTTTTGTAGTCATGGACCATCAAAGACAGATCAATAACCCATCCCTTCTTTTCCTTTCTTCATCTTCTTGACAATGAAATGATTTTGGAAAAATGAAATTTTAGCCATAATTACACTAAAAGTAGCTGGAAAAGTAAGATCCACCATTAATACTGCATAAAAGAAAAGGTTTCACTAAAGTACCTTTATAAATCCTATCAATTTCACTTATTTAATAAAAGTAATTGTTCAAGTGCCAAACTCTGATTCCCTAAGCAATCTTTTTATTTATTTATTTTTTATACAAGCTGAAAATGACAGAAAGTAATAAACTTAATTATCATGATTAGCAGAAATAATCAGTTTTGATATTAAACAAAGACATATGACAAAATACAAGCTTGAAAATATCTTTCCCTTAGATGAAAATTTCTTTTGAAACGATACAGGAACCAGAAACCGACGAGTGTTTTACAAGATAAATGTTACTTTTCTTAGCGGCTTTTAGTTATCAAGTCTCTAAAATGAAGATCAAAGCATGAATATATTACGCTCACAGAGTTCATATGATATAACTCATTCCAACTAAAACTTTAACATAAAATGTGATATTCTTGCTAGAAGCTAAACTCTTGAAATTGATATTTAGTGGATGACCAGAGTGACTTTGGGAAAGTTAGTCATTGTGCGCAACTTCCTGGCTATTTAAGATAACAACATTTAGAGTGGAAGCATTTGAATCCAAGGTTTTTGTCCCAATCATTTAGAAGATGCATATTTTGACAAGGTAGCTCCACTGATTATGAACTGGAACCAGTGGATATCGGCTCAAAATCCTGATGAAGATAACAATATTGGGAGTCCAGATACACAAGTAAAGCTGTTGCCTTATTTGTCCACCCTGTTTTCAATTATTAGTCTAGTGTTGACTCAGATTTTCGTGATTACTAAGTGCCCCCACTCTCCACTCTCCAGTTTGGAGCAATGAGATATTCATTGTTGGATGACTTATCATATGCTGAAGAAGGGATAAAGTGCAAACCAACCAATGACCTAAACAAAACAAGGACAAGAAGGGTGCCAAGTATATGTAACCCTACCTCTGATTTGCACAGAGGTTTTTCTAACTCCAATCTTTAACCTTAGCATTGATCAAGGCTCGCACTCTATAGTAAGGAAACAATTCCATGCTTCTATTATTTGGCCTAAATTTAAATACTGACAGTTAACATTATTAAGCCTTACTTTTCGGCTGATCCTTTTCTTTACGTAATTGTTTAATTTCATGAATGATCTTCAAGGGTTTGAAGGGACAAATCACACCAACCACACGATCCTGCTCCAGTTAAAATAAAGACAAGACTATTATTAGTGTAAACAAATCTTTTTCACATGACTTAGAAACAAATACATTCATATTCTATGGACCAAAATTGTAGAGTTATTGGCAATACCAAAATTCATTTGTTTCATTTTCTTTTCTT